ATCGTGAGTGTAATTTATATACATAAATTTCACAAGAACAAACATTTTTTTTTTATATAGAATTAGGGTAGTCGTTTTTTTATAGGATAGAGTGACAAACGAGCACACAGTCCACCTGATGGTAAGTGGTTGCAGTGGCCCATAGACATCTACATCTATCATCGTTTGCGAATTAAAATGCAGTTGCGTTGTCAGCTGTGAGGACTAAGATGGAATGCCTCTTTTCCAGTAAAAAGGGTCTCCGGTTCTCTACACTCACCATACGAAACACAGCAGCATTAAGCTGCTATTTTACGCTGGTATTCTGTGAGAGCGTGATCCTTCCCCGGTCGAGCCGACCAATTCGTGCTACAACTATACTATTAATAAAGCTGCAACATGGCTCTACCACGTACTAAAAACGGTACAATTACTTGTAATTCCGTGCGGGATTTGAACCCGCGGCCCTTGGCGCTGCAACTCATTTATAAGGCACTGCATCACAGAGCCGTCATTTCTAAATTATTTTAGTTACGAAGCGGCAGTTTATTTACTACAGTTCCGGTTTGAACTGTAGGACTATTATTACAGGCTACCAGGCATTCCATCTCAGTCCTCGGAGGTGCCGACATATCTCTAGCCTTCTTTGTTTGAAATTCATGAGTTTTGATAGTTATTAACAACGTGGACAGTTACATTTTGTTAGAATAGAACAGAACAAAAGAGAATGGAATAGAATATTACTTTTAATATTTTTTTCAGGCAATAACTTTCTTTTTCCTCTTTCCAAGCCCAATAAAGTAAGACCTATTTCCCCAATCGCCACCGTTGGCAGGTAGATTGGTGATGACAATATCAGACGTGTCTCACTTTTGATGCTGCTCTCCGTTTTGATATTTTACGCCAGGCGTCAAATATCAAGACGGAGAAGACGAAGGAAAGATGGTTGTATCGCCATATATCGGAAGCTGCAAGATCTCTTTAGCATTTCCCGCAGTTTCCTCTTACGACATCCTCGAGATGAAATGGGGCGATTGATATTCTTACGTTGCTACCATACGAAATAAAACTTTTAAAAGGTGAGACCAAAAAAGAAGGACGGAGCGCTGCGTACATTTCAAGTGACGCCGAAACCAAGCCAAGACCATGCTAAGCTTATAAGAACAGTAAGAATACACATGCACACGGACATATATGCATCTTAAATCACTATTTAATACTATAAATAAATACTATGAACAGACGCAAGCTACTCGTAGTAGGTACCAGTTACTTGACTTCACGGAGTTAGTAATTCACTCTTGTCCGACGACAAGTTCAGAAACTTTATTAAACAAAGTTTGTATAAAAAGGGTTTTTCTAATTTGCTGTGTATAGTTAATTGTGTAACTTTATTTAAGATTGTAAACAGTTCTTTTCTCAAATAAAAATGTTTCGCAGGGTTTCTTGTAGGCTCTTCCCAGGACAGAGGTGTTTTTCGAACTTGTGGTAAATTAAATATAAGAATAACTTTCAATAAGTTTTATTTATAATCTATATTAAATAAGAAAACTTTTATTTCTATTTGAACCCAACAACCCCTCGCAACAACCCTTCGTTTAAATACCGGACGCAAAGACCTAAATAGCGTATTTATATGAAGGCTAACACTTAATGTTGCAAGGCACGGTGCCCCAATTGTGTTCAAAACTGAAAGAATATACCAAATTTAAGAATAATTAAAAAAACTACTGACAAAACAGAAATGTTATTACTGTATCCAGGCCTAACGCCCCTTTATCTTTACTGAGATAAGGAGGCGAGGGCTAGTTTGTATAGGATTAACGCTCAGGGCGGTTTGAGCTTGCTTTCCAATAGATTGAAATCCATGCTCGACTCAATTAAGGAAACACCGGTATCATGCATGATCTCAGATATTATGCGTCTACTATATACTTTTAACAAAAAGTATACAGTGGAACTACCCTCCAGAGAAGACTGGCTGAATGGACAGGTCATTTGTGAGGTCGGTAGCCTTATATGATATAGCGATGGGTCAAAAATAGGCCTCGACGTAGGCTTTGGAATTTATGGGGAACGTCTCAAATTCAAACATATTATGAATTTGGGTAGATTCACCTCTATCTTCCAGGCAGATATTTTTGTCATACTTCAATGTGCGGAAATCAATCTGCAAAAACACTACGTTAATCATAAAATCTAAATTAACTCTGATAGTCAAGCAGCACTGCTAGCGTTGAGATCAAATTTGGTGAACTCGAAGCTATTTGGACAATAGGGTCGTTTTAAGATAGGTTCCGGGTTGCGCGAGTATTTTAGGCAATGAGACTCACCTGACTGACCATGGAAACTCTTTACCATAATAAATCAATTAAGATCTGGTCTGATACACAAGGCTTAAAACATTCTAAAACCTTAATCCGGGCTTTCGATCATAAATTCGCTTTGGAAGCCCTGACTAGACACTGTTGTCTTAAAAAGCACATGTCGATCCTGGGACTAAGCAACTGTAGGATGTGCAGGTTTGCTCCCTAGAAGAGGAAACGCGTAAACGTAGCACTCATCTGGGAAACTATATAGTTTGCCCAGAAGAAGTGAAATTGCTCACAGCTAAGCAACTCCTTCTATTCATTGAGGACGTATGGCTTAGCAGTAAACTATAGACATAGCAGTGATATATCTTATAGCACAATAGTTCTTTTAGGTCGCAGTGAAACTGGTCTCTATAGAACTGCATAGCTGCTCGTACATAACAATAAAATACTGTATCCACTGAATGACAAACAGCTATGATGTTACAAATATGTTTGTATTGTTAAAAACTCTGTAAGAATGACCGCGATTATTTTTGCAATACGTTGACATGAAGTATATATACCTGTTCGATTTGTCTGTTTTTTGAAGTTATACTTGTTTCGGGGCGTTTGGGAAAAAATTATAAGAGTGAATTTTTTACGATGCGCGCGCACACCGACAGCTAAGAACGACACCATGAAGTTGTTACGATGCGCGCGCACACTGAAACCTCAAAGCGACTACTTCATTGGGTAACTGTCTCTCAAGTTTTCGTGGGAATCGATAAATATATTTAAGGTAATTATTTTTAGTTATTTTTGTTTTGTTATGCTAAAGAAGTATAACTTCCTACGTGCGTACAGTACACACACACACGTTTTTTTTGTTTGTATGCACAAATTTTTTGACATCTATTTTACTAACTTGATTAGAAAATTATTATATTATACTAAAAGAAATATTTGTTTAGGTTTTCATTTAAATATACTTAAGTAATTTTTTTTTCATGTTCTCGACACAACGCAAATATTATTTAAGTGTAATAAATAAAAAACAATAAAAACAATGTTTAAAATGGTGTTTATGTATGCATCCACTAATGGATTTCTATGGACTGTTAAATAAAGAAAATTAAAGATGTGTGCGTTAGTGCGAGTCAAAAAATTGAGCATAGTTTCGGCGTCAAATAAAATATACACAGCGTTCTGTCTATTCTTTTTTTAAATGAATGAAAAAATAGCTTTATAAGGGTATGTGTAACTCGTGAGCGTGTAGTGGCGCTGTAAGAATATCCACTACCCATTATAATCCCGTTGGTGTTGCAAGAGGCGACACAAGGAAACTGAAACGGGAGATGGGCAGCAGCATCTTCTTTTAACAGTTTAAATAATAAATAAATACGTTTGCTAACTGCCTGACAAGCATGGCAATTATGAAAAAATACCCTATAAGGCAATCTGTGGGGAGCAGTGGACTTTTATAGGCAGTAATGGATGGATGGATGATGTAGCTCGTGAATTGCATTGCTTCATCAAGAGGTGTTATAAGAGGTACAGTTGCTACCTCGCGTTGCTGATATAGCTTATTAGTAGCCTCTTAGGGGCTATATCGCCTTACTGAGTATAGAGCTTTGCTAGAAATATATAACGTAGAAGACAGGTAGTAGGACTCTTTATCTGCCTAGAATTCCGCCGAGGTGGGTACCATCTTACTTATTTCTGCCGTCCACTATCAATTCTTGGTCTACAGTATCCCGGTCTGTAGGGTATGGAGAGCCAGTATAATTACAAGTGGGGGAGGCTTGTGTTCAGCAGTGGACTTTTAAAGGCTGAAATGGATGGATGATCACAAGTTAATAGGCATTCTAATTTAGTCTTCAGTGGAGACAACACATCTGTAACCTTATTTGTTTGAAGCTGGCTGCATGCTGTTGTGTCCATGGATTGCAGCAGGTACTCATCATTAGTTGGACTGAAAGTTAGATTGTAATTTTAGTTTTATATAAGAAAAACGGATTAGTAAGCTGAAATGGCAATGGGCCGGCCATATAGCTCGAAGAACCGACAACCGATGGGGAAGAAAGGTTCTCGAGTGGCAGCCTCGTACCGGCAGGCGAAGTGTAGGGCGTCCCCCCACTAGATGGAGTGACGACCTGGTAAGATATGCAGGAAGTCGATGGATGCAGGTGGCTCAGGACCGTGCTTTGTGGCATTCTTTGGGGGAGGCCTATGTTCAGCAGTGGACTTGTGAAGGGCTGTAATGATGATGATGATGATGATAAGAAAAATAATTATATATTAATAGCATTGCTAGAATAAATCGTGTAGTGCCGCTGTAAGAATATCCACTACCCCATATCGCCCCGTGGGTGTCGTAAAAGGTGACAGACGGAAAGTAAAACGAAAGGTGGGCAGCAGCATCTTTCTGTTAACAATTCTAAATAATAAAAAACTTCGGTTGCCAACCGGCCGGCCAAGCGTGGCAATTATGGCAAAAACCTCCCTATGAAGCAACCTGTGGGAGAGTCCTTGGTTCAGTAGTAGAATTTTATAGGCTGGAATGTATAAATTGCTAGAATAAAATGTTAATGAAAGAAAGAAAGAAACATTTACTTGACTAACACACAACAATAAGAAGCATAGAATTCGTAGTACAAATTACAAATTGGTAAGAATGCTGCTACAGCACTGGTTTATTAAATGCATTTATTCTTCCCACAGAAAATTATGAGTGCGCGACTCCTAGCGACAGTTGGCTTCCTGCTGGCCCTGGTTGCGACAGGGGACAGTATCAAATGCTGGCAATGTGGAATATACAGCGATGGCGTTGGGTCCATAACGCCTTGTAACAACAGAAGCGCCACTCGTCTGGCGGAATGTCCACCAGCGGCGAAGTATTGTATTGTAAGTAGACAATCGCCTCCTTGTTGGATGTATTGGGAGAAAATAGAGAAGGTATACGTGGTAGAGCCACGCTTCAGATATACTGGACCAGGTCCAGGTCGTCTAAACCACGCTCTTACAAAATACAAGCCTTATATAGCAGCTTAATGCTGCTGTGTTTCGTATGGTGAATGTAGAGAACCAGAACCTATCACTGGATACGAGGCATTCCATCTCAGTCCTCAGGGCTGACCACGCATCTGTATTTTAATTCTTAACTGAGAATAAATGTAGATGTCTATAGGTCTCATATAATATATAGGCCATACACGCACGCACACACCGCACAAACACACACGTACACACACACACACACACGCACGCACGCTCGCCGGAAGCTCGAGCCCGCCTAGGAGTTAAATAAAATACATACATACATATAATCACGCCTCATTCCCGTAGAGGTAGGCAGAGACCACTTCTTTCCGCTTGCTACGATCCTTACATACTTGTTTCGCTTCGTCCACTTTCATTATTCTCTTCATACATGTTCTACGGTTTAGGGTGCTCTTGACCTGGCCTTATTTCAAGACGTCCCTGATTTGGTCTTGAAATGTCCGCCTAGGTCTACCCCTTCTAACACTTTCATTCACACTCGCCTTGTACACTTTTTTCGTCAATCGTTCTTCATTCATTCTCTCGACATGGCCAAACCATCTCAGCATACCTTTCTCAATTTTTGTCACTACATCTTCTTTCAGACCACAAAGTTTCCTTATCTCACTATTTCTTATCCTGTCACTCAGTTTAACTCCGATCATACTTCTTAACGCTCTCATTTCAACTGCATTTATACTGCTTTCATGTTTCTTCTGCCATACCCAACTTTCACTTCCGTACATGAATGTCGGAACCAACACCCCCTCATGCACAGCCAAATGAGCCTTGTTAGACACCTTCCGACTGCTCATAAAGGAGTGCAAAGCTCCCTTCACCATGTTTCCTGCATTCACTCGTCTTTCGATATCACTCTCACACTTTCCATCTCTTGTAAACCTTGAACCCAGATACACAAACTCTTTCACCTGTTCAATTTGTTCAACTCCAATCACGATATTGCAGTCTGTCACTGCCTAATCTCTTTCAAACACCATCACTTTCGTCTTCCTTACATTCACCTTCATTCCCTTTCTAACAAAAGCTCCACTCATAGTACTTACCATCTCCTCCAACTGCTCGGCCGAAGGTGCAGGTAATACTTGGTCAGCAGCATAGAGAAAACATTTGACGAGTAACTCATTCCTTACCAACCCACTTTCATTCTCTTTTACATCTGTCAGACAATTGTCCATGAACAGATTAAACAGCTACGGTGGCGCTACACATACCTGTCTAACACCTTTTTCGATATTAAACCATTCAGTGTATGCCCCGTTTATCCTTACACAAGCACTAGAATCCCTATAAAGAGATTGCAATGCTTGTATAAGGATACTGCTCACACCGTTCACGGACAGTGCTGACCACAATTCATTCCTCACCACTCTATTATAGACCTTTAGCCAAACACTTTTCGGCTATGCACCGCAAGGAAAAGACCTGACCCCTACATCCCATTACCTTTCTAAATCCCGCTTGTGCATCCCATACTTTTTCGTCTGTTTCATTGTCAACACTTTCGCATACAATTTACCTACGACGCTGAGAAGGCTTATATATCGCGGTAATTTATGCAGTCCTGCCGTGACCCTTTTCCCTTATACAAAGGCACGATTACGGCTTTGCACCAGTCTCCTGGTATTTACCAATTTCGCCAGCACAAATTGAAAAGGCGGTACAGCTGACTAGCCACTTTATCCTGTCCAGCCCTCAGCATCTCGACGGTAATCCTGTCATACCCTGCAGCCTTACCTAATCTCATACTTTTCAACGCTTTCACTATTTTATCCATGCTTATCTCACTTTCATCAACATTTATATTAGTTTCCATGGAAGGTGCCGGATGCTGTACCTGCACTTCCTCTCTTTCAAACAAATTTTCAAAATACTCTTTCCATCTCTTTAACACACATTCTTCTCCTTTTATAATGCTGCTTAAATAAAAGATAAGGGCAAATGGGGTTAAATAAAATACCGGTAAAATAATATGTTTTTTTTTTAAAATGAAGTTACTGAGGAACTTACAGTCCACCTGATGGTAAGTGGCGACTGTTGTAAGTGACCACTGATCACCTGCATCCAACTTCAAATAAAGAAGGCAACAGTTGCTTCATCACCTCTGAAGACTAATATGGAACACTTTATAGCCTTTAATTTTTCTCTACCCGGCAGACCTGAACACAGCAGTACAGGCATTGCTGTTTGGCAGCAGAAATACCTTAGAGGGTATCCACCCTGACGGATTTCTAAGCAGGAAAGGAGTCCCACTACATAGTAAAATAAATCCATCCATCCATTACAGCAAATAGAAGGTCACTGCTGAACATAAGCCTGCCCCATAGATTGCCTCATAGGATAGATTGCCATACTTACCACACCTTGCGGGCGGGTTGGCAACCGCAGTTTTTTATAATCTTGATTTGTTATCAGGAAAATGCTGCTGCCCATCTCCTGTTTCAGTTTCCCTCTGTCCCATCTTGCGACACTCACGGGCCGATATCGGGTTGTAGGTATTCTACACTGCAACTACACAAAGTAAAACATATACAATAATATAAAATGTAAACATTACAATTAAATTCAAATTCATTGAATAATTTACGTTTCTTTATAATAAATTACGATTAAATATAATATTCTTAAATTGTTGGCATATGGAAGCTGCGTTAGAGAATCCATCATCCAGAGAGTGTTATGTAACACGACTATGGGAAGTACCAAAGACATTTAAGTAGTATTAGTAAGCCTATATATTTAAACCTTTTTGGGAAATACCAAAAAAAAATATGGCTTCCAAATATTTAATGCTTTATAACCATCTGGTTTTTGGCATACGTAATATACACAGACAGGCGACGGGCGCAGCACCTACAATGCGAGACATCTCTGGTTTTGCGATCAATCTACTGGCGAAGCGCGGCTGGAAAGGCCCATGTTCGGGAATGCATCTCTGATCATTTCACCGCTGTTCCTTCCTCCCTTGGATGCAGTAGAAGATTTATAGCCCGCAGTTGCGTGAGCGCATCACCGTGATGCAGTAGATTACGTTCCTCATGTGCCCTCAAAGCTGCGATGAGAATACTGCAACTATGTACACTTAATAGTTGCATGGTTTTCCGATATCTCACTCTCAAAGAGTGCTTGCTACTAATAACAAGTATTTTAAAGTTTTTGACTTAGTTGGAATATGCTATCAGAGAATATTATCAGCGTTGATAGCATGTCTTTTGTAAACAACAAAAATGTTACACGTAATAACGGATTATATATTATTTTTGAATTAATTAATTAATTAGCTGAACTGAGTAAGTGGCGCAAGTATGAGTCTATGAGAGGTGACTACATATTTGTGCCATTTGCTGTAGAGACTATCGGTCCGTGGGGTCCACGTGCAGTGAAGTTCCTAAAGGAACTCCATCTGCAGCTGGTCGTTGCTGCTGGTGATAAGAGGGCTGGTTCTTTCCTCGCTCAAAGGCTAAGTATAGCCATTCAGCGGGGAAACGCAGCCAGCGTTCTTGGCACGATACTGCGGGGAGTAGGACTATATGATAATTAAGTTTCTAGTTTTAGTTTTTTTTTTATTATCATAGTTTTTAATATTGTAGATAAAATAAAAATAAAATTTATCATTCCTTTCTTCCAAAAAAAAGTAGATTACAATGGGAAGTGTTTAGTTACAATTACTAACGGCTCCGTGGCAGCTTAGCATGGAGTTGTAGCGTTGAAGGCCGTGCTTACAAATGCCGCTTGGAACAAGTATTTGTGTGGCCTACAAATAATTATTCCGGATCTGGATATTTGAAATTACATAATGTATTTATGTGAACTGACTCTATGATACAGAAGAAAATATTAGTGTGGGGTAACGGTTAAATAAAAAGAAGGAGAAACCAATTATGATTGCTTTTTGTTACAGAAATATGTAAGCGAGTTGACTGTTGTACGAGATTGTGTACCAACTTGCACAGAAAAAGGTAATAATATAGAAATTGTACCAAGAGATATTAACCTAGTGGAATAAATGTAAAGAAATTTAAAAGTACAAGTTTCGCTGCTTTTGAGTGTGGATTTTGCGTTCAATGTCCACATACTCAAACGCTGTTCAATTTTTTTTTATAGGAGAGGGGCCAAACGAGCATGCGGCTCACCTGATGGTAAGTGACTACCGCCACCCATGAACAACTGCAACACCAGGGAGGGAATTGCACATGCGTTGCCGGCCTTTTAAAAAGGAGTAGGCTCTTTTCTTGAAGGTCCCTAAGTCGTATCGGTCCGGAAAAATCGCTGATGGTAATCGATTCCACAAGGAAGTCGTGAGAGGAAGAAAACATCTTCTAAATCGCACAGTGGTGGACCACCAATCATCCAGATGGTGTGGATGGTATCGGGAGTTCTGCCGCGATGTGCGTTCGTGAAATTTGGCGGCTGGGATTAATCCGAACAATTCCTCAGAGCACTCCCCATGGTAGATGCGAAAGAAAATGCAAAGTGAAGGAACATCCCTTCGCAGTGCCAGTGAATCGAGCCGATCGGAAATGGATGCGGTCAAGTGGAAGGAGCTGGCACTGGGGAGCCCCTGCCCAGAGATGGGAACAGTATTCCATGTGAGGCCGAACCTGCGCCTTGTAAAGTTGCATGCGGTGTGCCGGCATGAAATACTGTCCCGCTCTGCTGAGCACGCCAAGCTTTATAGAGGCCAATTTGGCCTTCTCTTCCAAGTGACCACGAAACTGCACGTCATTCGATATGTCGACTCCAAGGATTCCGATACTGGCTGAGGCAACAAAGGGAGTGCCTTGAAACTGAGGAGATACGACAAAGGGGTTCTTTTTAGCGGTATACGCGCAAATTTGTGTCTTCTGATGATTAAACTGGACTAGATTTAGTCGCCCCCAATCCGAGACTATGTTCAGCAAAGACTCGACTTCAGACATAAGTTTGTTCCGGTACTCGGCGACGTTTTCCCGAGAAATATTGGCACGGCCGGTGCATAGAGCATCACCAGTGCTATCATCCGCATAGCAATGAATGTTACCAGTTTGCAACATATCATTGATATGCAGAAGAAACAGCGTTAGTGATATCACACAGCCTTGTGGAACACCAGCGTTAATAGGCTTGTAGTCGGAGCATGCACCGTCTACAACGACCTTGATGCTCCGATCTGCAAGGAAGCTGGTGATCCAATTGCACAATTCCTCGGGAAGCCCATAGAAAGGGAGCTTCGAAAGAAGCGCTTTGTACCAAACCCGATCGAAGGCCTTCGCAATGTCCAAACTAACGGGCAACGCCTCCCCCTTGGACTCTACTGCCTCCGCCCATCTATGGGTCAGGTAGACCAGAAGATCACCAGCTGATCGACTCCGACGAAAACCGTATTGGCGGTCACTAATCAGCTAGTGATCCTCAAGGTACCGCATGAGCTGGCAGTTAATAATGGATTCCATTATTTTGTAGAACAAGGAGGTGATCGCGATAGGACTATAGTTGGACGGGTCTGAACGGTCGCCTTTTTTAGGGATCGGGTGGATAAAAGCTGTCTTCCATGAATTCGGGACTACGCCTTGGGAGTAGGAGTACCGGAAAAGACGCGTTAGGATCGGTGCCAACTCCGGAGCACACATCCTCAGCATAATTGGGGGGATTCCGTCAGGCCCACTCGACTTCTGGATGTCCAGGGAGACATCCGGCATGGAGCACTCACACCGCGGGATGGTCGGCGGTGTGTTCCCCCTGTCATCAACAGTCGAGTTGGACGCAAAAAGGGAGCCTAAAAGGTCGGCTTTGTCTTTTGCATCATTTTAAGATGCCGTTAAGCCTCATGCTATCTCTATCAATTTAAGTCAAAGTGACTGTGATGCCACGAGAATAACATCTTGAAATTGAGTAGGATTTGAGTATTTGACTATAAAATTTCTTTCTCTTCTCACACAGAGTGGTGGGGCGCCCGGACCTTCTGCTGCGAATCTGATGAGTGTAATTCTGCATTCACACGGACGCCAACAGCTGCCAGCATTGTTGCGGCTATCGCGTTAGTAGTAGCAATCGTACGCTGACCGCTTGCTTGAAGATGCTCTTTTGTTCCTTTTGATTCACCGTGAGTTCAAAGTTAGAAGAATAACATGAGTTGTGTAATAAAATTCAAATTTAATTTATTAGAGCCTAAAACACAAAAGTGCTTTTTTTTTTTTTGGAAAATCTTGTGCGAATTAACTTTCTAAAATCACAATTAAGGATATCTATAAAAATATCATATATAAACCCAATTTAATAAAATTCTAACTTTCCAATCTTCCTTTACTTATATCGTGTTTAGACTTTTTCACAGAGTATGTAATTTGATAGTTCTAATATTTTCAGACAATTATTGTATGATTTTGTTCATATTTTATACGAGTAGTTAAGTCAGCGAATTAAAATTGTTACTCGCATTATATTCGATCTTTTTTTGGCTGTAGAAAATTTAGTAACATGAGACTTATTACTAACATGTATATGAATAAATTTCAAGGTCAATTGTTATACATTTTGAAGTACTCCAAGTATTTGTTTACAAATAATTGGAGTACCTAAGTTAAATACCAAAGTTAATAAAATCCTAAAGCGTTATCCTTAGCTACATCCATTATAAATTTAATATCCAATACGATTTCAGAATTAATAATAATTTCATTCATAACTACATAAACGTAGTTGCTGTCGCCCCATTTCATCCCGTGAGTGTCGTAAGAGGCGACAGAAGGAACTGAAACTGATGCGGAACGGCATCTTCCTGAAAGTAACTCAAAATAATAATAATACTGTGGCTGCCCAGCACACTTGCTAAGTGTGGAAGCTATGGCAAATATCTCACCTGTAAGCCGTAATGATAGGCTGTGATACATATGCTATGTATCCGACAGTAGGTACTTCCCGTACAGTTCAATACATAACATTCATAAAGGAACTCTTTTTTTAATTATTTCTACTAACCTTTTCCCAATACTGCATTATAGGAAATCATTGAATTATGAAATTGAACAAAAATTTTAATTGAAAAGCTTACAAATTTGTCAATTGACCTATTAATTGATCGCCATTATTTCTTTCTTAATTTTAAAAATTGCTTTGTAAACGTATTATAATATTAGACATTCCATTTTATATTTTATAATTAATTTATGTAATTAATATAAATGAGATAAAAACCAAACGCTTTATAGAACTTTATCACATATGGACATCAAGATACTAAATTATTCTAAATTATCATTAACTAATATTAATAGTATTATAGTATATGTTATAGATGTTAGTACGTAGGAAATAAGGTCTAGTTATTAATTTTAAGGATATAGGTTAATGTTGAATTTTTATTATCTATTTCGATTGTTTTCTAAAGCATATATTAAAAAATCTAGTCTGATTATCAAGCTTAATAGAACATAATTCGAGGCTTCATATTGTTTATAAAATAAATTATAGATATGCACCAGAAAACAATATATCAAAAATGTCACACACAAACTCATATCTCTCATGTAATGTGTTATTTTGAAATTGAAGACAATACATAGTCCAGGGGACAAATCTATATTGAACTAAGATACAGAGAATGCCATCGTATGATTTTTGAATTGTACTAAATACGAAAATGTAATGTAATGATCAATATCGAAAAAATGAGTCTACCTTAATAGTTAAGCGAATACTGCAGCAGGTTCAAATAAAGAAGACTTCAGATGCGATAAATTAATTAAACACGGTGTCGCCATCTTTGTTTTAAAATGAGTTGAAGGAATAAAGAAGTACGAACGAAAAGAAAACAAAGCGAAAATTAACTATTTAAATTTATTTTTCGCAAGTTCCTTATAAGCTAATTGCAGTTTATTTAATATAATAGTTTAATTTTATGGTACGTTTAAAGTAAATAAATTTATAACTTACAGTTTATTCTGATATTTTTATATATTTAATATCTTTAAAATTTGAGTAACAATAAGTTTATTTATTCGATTTACGATGAATGTAATAAACTTTAAATCAATCGTCTTTATTCCAAAAAGTAGTTTGTAGTAAGTTTATAAACTAGAAAGCTTGAGACAACTCTCAATCTTTCGACGACGATTTGTTTCACGAAAGAAGTGCCGCGGAAATATGCGGATCAAAATGTATGTAAAGAATTTATGGCGTCGCGGCTAAGTGACTTCTTAAGTTAGAAGGACTTTTATTCAATAATAGTTTAAGCAGACAGTTAACCACTTTTTGTTATAATAATTGTAGTTAAAATATTTAAACACCAGCCGGTATAAGATCTGAACAAAAATAATACGTAGGTCATTAATTTAATTTGTTTAACCACGCGTTTTTTTAAAGGTGGAATTGTTTTCGAATAAAACACGCAGTTCATCCTTTACTATGTAGTCTAAGTACAATTTAAATAGCAATACTATTCACCATCACGTACAATTTTAAAATACACTATGCTGTATTAGATTTTGTTCCTAGATAAATAAAGACCAATTTATAACTCAATGTTGCCTTTTATTTCTGTTGTACCTAATCTACGTTTATGCTTAATCTGAAAATCACTTTTTGGTAGTGGCTAAGCTTGTGATTGCGTTGTCCCGTGGATATAGATATAAGAGGCGACAATTGGACATGCCAAAAAGTTCCAAAGACTTCAAGAATAGATGGCAGTCTATTCTATTTACGTCTGGCGTAAAATAGCCAGAGCAGCGACGGGCAGAGACGTCAATTTTAAAATTAGATTATTATATGCGATGAAATCTCAAAAATCAATATAATTTTTCTGTAGTATTTAGTAAAGATAAGGACTTATTAACTAGAAAAATACTTATAAGTAACAAAAAGTAAAAGCCAACTTCAAGGAACTAAAGGTATAAAATAATTTTAGTTTATGAAATCGGTGCTGAGACATAGAGTATAGAAGAATTAGAGTCCTGACTTTATAATGTGAGATAATGTAATTCTTTTTAGTTCTTTGAAGTCGCTATTTACTCCTTATTGTATAGGTATGGGTATATTTTTTTGTCATTCACTGTGGACTAAGAAATATCATAATCTTAGTGTTGTCTACATAACTATATTACTTTTTTTTTTTTTTTTTTTATAGGAGAGGGGGCAAACGAGCATGCGGCTCACCTGATGGTAAGTGACTACCGCCGCCCATGAACAACCGCAACACCAGGGGAATTGCAGATGCGTTGCCGGCCTTTTAAAAAGGAGTAGGCTTACTTTGCCATCCTTAGTCAGGTACAGTGCAATCAAGAATCTTCTCCTTTCTTAAAGTCGGCTAGTAAAAAGAAAAAAAAACAATAGAAATTAAGTTAGAAAGGCTAACAAACCCATGCGTTCGTGCAATATAAATTTCGACGCAGGTAACTCGGTGATTCTGTCAATAATTCGATCCTTGTTCAACTAGTTCGTCTTGATTATGTTCTTATGAAGCAGACCAGTGTAACATCGTAATTAGCAGATTAGACGTATCAAATCACGTTACACAACATGTGAATTGTAAATGCGCAACATTGAATGTGTAGTGCGTTGCGCTATTTTATTGATGTCATAGTCACGGCTGGTAATCTTTCAGCAATAATCTTCGACCGTATGAAATGCAGTGAGCAATTCATTACATGACGTTTCCCTCGTCCCTCCCACCTCTTGACCTTAGTATCTTGAATGCTTGCAGTGGTATGCTTGAGTTTGGATTTAATTTTATTAAATATTGGATCCCAAGCAGATCTCCTCGTAGAAATCCTCCCAAAAGAACACCGAATCCTATCAAGGATGATTCGCGAGGCTATTTGAAATTAAAAAATACACCCTAATTTCAATAGAGAACATGGATAGGTGCTGCCGTCTGCTTTGGATCATATAATATAATTAATAAAATAAAATCCAAACCCAAGCATACCCCCCCCCCTCCCGTAACCACGGGTGCTGTAAAGCACCCGAAATGTCGGGATTTAAATACAATAAAATTTTATAAATACTTTTATCCACCCAACCATTTGCATCGAAACATTGTTACAGTATACTTAATATCTTAGGTTACAATGATAATTGTGATCTAAAACTATTGAAACTTTCTGTTTAATTGTGAAAGCTCCTTAGATTTATGTGAAAGTAACTTTGACTGATTACTACTAAGGCCTCTTCTTGTCTTGACATCGTTTATGCGAACATTGTCATCAAAATAAGAGAGCTTCTATTGAAATAAAATTGGCGCCCGTATTAAAAGTTAACTACTTGTAGTTTATATATTTAAATATTCTTTTTTCCAGCTCACTACACTAGATATTGAATGTATTGAAGAAAACTTTTCCACTGACATTATAACAGTACAGGCAACAAGAGTGCGATTAAATGTTTAATCTACAGCATATACCGTGAATGGGATTCTGAAAGGCACGGGCATCATTAGAGTCGAAAATCGTACATTGCCACCAATGCAAAGAAAAGCATTAAGCAAGTATGAATAAGTTAAAAAATAAATCATATAAATAATATACACAATCAATTTTATTTCTGCTCTTTCTTCTTCATAATAACGTATTCATAAATAATAGTAATTAAATAGCAAAGTATATTACATAATATATGTTCTAATTTGCTGTACGGTCCAAACTAAATGTACCAGAGACGTCCGTCCGACACCTGTTACTAGTAAGTTTGTGGTCATAAATAATAGCATAAGTTAAACATTCGAGCATTTATATATATTATATTTGAACAATAAACTCTTGATACCTTTCTAACTTAAATCGGAGCATGATTGAAATATTTTTTTAGATTCCATTCTATTCATCCCTCCCTTACAGCTTCTAAAAGTTCACTGCTGAACAAAGGCCTCCCGCATATATTGCATTGAGGGGATTTCGCAATAGTTGCCACGTTTGGCAGGCGGAATAGAAACCGCAGTTTTTTATAATTTTAAATTTATATCAGGGAGATGCTGCTATCCATCTCCCGTTTCTGTTTCCTTCTATCACTATAACGACATCTGGGCGACGATGTAGGGTTGTGAATGTTCTTACACTGCCAATACACAGTT